AGAGGCCAACGAGTTGAATTAATTCACCTTATATATTAGCACCGACATGACAAATGATTAGCTTCCATGAAACAATAAATTGAAAACTTGCATTTTTTGGCCATGTGCTGAACTTTTATTGACATCTGACTTTTCTTATGGAACTATTCTGGTGATGGCAATATGATCAAAGATAATGTTTTGCATCCTTAAGACATATCTTCATTTCTGATCTGGTTGTTTTGTGTTCCACGTGCCCCTTGCTTCAGGCAGGATATTTTGCATTTAGACAATGAGATTGCTTTTAATGAAGCTATTATTGAGGAAAGAGATCTTGGAATACAAGAAGTACAACAACAGATTGGTGAAGTGAATGAGATTTTCAAGGATCTTGCCGTTCTTGTTCACGAGCAAGGAACTATGATTGGTAAATCACTTTCCTTCGTTTTGAACTTTCAAATCTTTAGAGGACATTATTTGACGTATACAATTCTCCTTTTCTCAGATGATATTGGCTCCAACATTGAGAATTCTCATGCTGCTACTGCACAAGGGAGATCACAACTTGCTAAAGCTGCAAAGACCCAAAGATCAAATTCATCTCTGGTATTTCCATTACTTATACAAATTTTTCCTGAACATAAATCTGGCTCGGTTTTATTCTGCTTATATTCCATGAGAACATGTATGTTTAGACTCTTGGATCTTTGAGAATATAGATGTGGACGATGGGAAACTTGTCATAGCATTAAGGTGCTGCATTTTGCAAGCTACGACTAAATGGTAACTAGATGTTCTAGTTACAGCATGGTTTAACAGAAATAGAGAGAAGAAGAGTAGTTATGCCAATTTGCTACTTAATTCTGGGCATGGTTGTGGTACCAAATTTGAAGTGCCATTATGAGGCAGTCGTGGGTCGAAGTTTTAATGAATCATAATGACAAGTCAAGTCATGCGATTAGTTTTCTTAGGTTCGGCTTTTCATCTTTTAGGAGTGGGGACAAACTTGCCCAGAAACCATGGTTATTAAAAAATTATGGGTTCAAATGAATTAGTTGAGGCGCTCACAAGCTTGCCCGAAACCACGGTTATTAAAAAAACATATCGTGGGTTCAGATGAACACGCAGCCTAGAGACTACATCCGCCTCTAGAAGTGGGGTTGATTTTAAGCCCTTTTGGATGGTGTTGAATCGTTCAACCTCATCATTCCCTATCAAATGTAGGTGGAAAATATAATTACTAACATTCATTCCTCGCCACTTTATATAAAAAATCATAAATCTTTTCATCTTATATTCCTCGCAGCGCATTCTTAACGGATTTTCTTTTCTGCAGACCTGCTTGCTTCTGGTGATATTTGGGATCATACTTCTAATTGTGATCATAGTACTTGCAGTATGATCAGAAGATTTTGATATGGGAGGAAGAGAGATCCTAAACTCTTCATAAATGGAATTGATCTTTTTGATTCAAGATGTTCTTAAGGCACCATAAAGTATACTTGTGGTTTGATCCATGAATCTTTTAGTCATGCTAGAGAAGTTGTGCAACTGTGACATGAAGTTTCATATGGGTGGCGTGGGGGTGGGGGTGGGGGTTGACATGCGAGGGAAGGTTTGTCTGCTATGTTTGTAAATTTTGTGTTTGTGTTTGTGTTTGCAATTGTGTTGCTGCCATGTAATGGCTGGTTTGTTGATAAAATTTGTTTCTTAAATTTCTTGCATGATCAAGGCCCGGATAAAACGAATCTAGTCCACAACTTATTCATGATATAAGCTGTCATTTACATAGCTGCTGCCTATTTAGTCACATTTTTTTGTTTTGATTTCGGAACAATTAACCTATCATATGTATCAGCTTGGCTTCATCCTGAACCTAGGAGGTATTCGGATTTCATATGAACAGTTTGCTACCTATTTAGTTAACGTCTCTTGTTTCTTGTCAGGAACAATTAAAATAGTTTGAATTTTCAGGTTTCCAAGCAATATAAGGTCCCCTAAACTTGCACTTTATTTTTTTGGTAAATGGTGAATAATTGTATTCATAAAAGGCACAAATGTAGTGCTGGGATTCTGAACAAGTGAGCAAAAGATCCACAATATATCCCTCCTCAAGTCTTTAGAGAGGCTCTTTAAGAATTCCAGTAAAGCTAAATAACAAGATACAAGCTGGAATAGCGTACCACCCGCTTATTCTTGCTTTGTCCAGTGCTAGACAAAGTTAAGAATGGTGTAATAGGACAGTGCCAAAAGAGACGAATAAGAGTTTCAGTACATAAATAACAATCCAAGATAAACGCGCTTCACTTCTATGAGGAGCTCATGACTTCCAGATTTGTTTCTGAGGCCATGGTTTGAGAAGTTGATCTTCCTTTTCCAAGATTTTACACAACTCGCCTTGGTTGCAGTCTTTACATTGATATTTCTTCTATAATTAACTAACCAAGTCCCATCAACTCTTGAATCAGAGACGATAGAATTTGAAGACAATGCCAAATCGTACAATCTGGGAATTTGTTCTTCGAAGATACATGGCTCATCTATCTTCTCCTCCTCCGCTTCCTTCGACTATCATCACTTTCACTATCACTGTCGTCAGAACTGGATGATGATGATTCAGATTCTGAACCAGAACTCCCAGACTCATCATCCGATTCAGAAACGGGCTTTCTGGATCTATTGTATCTGAGAGAGAGACTTCATGTGTTAGTTGATCTTCCTTCTCAACAAGGTCAAGTTCTGGACGCACAGCTTGGTAACCCTGAGTAGGATGCATGTAAGGGATCTAATATTCTTGCTTTGATAAATAAGGGATAAAATATAATCTTGCCTCAGAAAACAATAAATTATCGAGTAGTATTCATGGTGGGGTCGTTAAGACGCTCATTCAACAAGCGGATGCCAAGGTGCTCCGACATTTCCTGCATATATGACACATTTTTTGAGTGAATTTGAAGCTAATGGAACAAATATGTGATATTACTACAAATAGATGTCTACCAATGCATCGCATCCCCAGCCTAAAAAAACAGAAGAACAGGAGAAAAAAATGATATGCTTGAACAAATGCAACTTTTGACATTAATGTTACATTTAGCAGTGATTAAAAGACTTAAAATAAGTGGCCAAAAAGAAAATAAATATTCAGAAACAACTATTGATCTTGTTCATATTATAGAGAGTTTTAAAAAGTAAGCCATAAAGATAAAGCTAGTTTTCTTTTTGACGAGTTCAAAGATAAAGCTAGCTGTAACATGTCTGAAAGAAACAAAAAGATAAATCAAGCTGTAGAAGTATTAGAGATCAAATTAAATGTACCTGGAATAGGATTTTAATAAATATACGAGAAGAAGAGGTTGTGTCCTCCTCTGTCAGCCTTATATAAGCCAAAGCATGCCAAGGAAGAGCATCAGTGCCGAGCAAATGAGCAAAAAACTTGGCCACGTTACGAAGTTTATTAGTTTCGAGCCGGTGGATCATGGAGTACTGCTGCACAAAGCATTTCTCAAAGTTTTCTTGATGAATTTTGTTAATCATGCAAAATCGCTGTCCCAGTAGTCCATAGTAACGAAGATAAGTCCTCTCCTGACTGCAGCACTCCAATAACATTATGCACAATTCCATCTGCATAGATCAAATAAATATAGATCGGTTTTCTTTTCTTTTTGACAGGTATCAATCAAAAAGTTATTAATTAATACAAGAATGAATAATACAGCCACAGGACAGAATGATTACAGCATCACAATCTTTTTCATTTTATTTAGTCTCTCAGGAGACTCAGAGTACCAGGCTACCAAAATATGTACCCCCCTCCCCACACACACACAAATGCACAACTAGAAATGTACAACACCACACTCAGTGCACTTTAAGCAGTCTCCGTCTCCTAGAGAAACCAAGTACGAATACCAGGCTACCAAAATATGTTACTTACTGACAACAGAGGTAAACAAGATAAAACTAATATATTTAATCTTAATAATCATACTGATGTTGAATCTATCCGGTCCTAAAATATTTTTTTGAGAAATGTAACAGTTAGTCTATATTTATCCACAGGTATACTACCTCAAAAGTGTAGTTCCCCTCCAAAAGTGTTGTAATCACATAGGATCCTATACCTACCAAGTTACAGCCAGTCTATAGTTGTGCTGATTACTTCTGAGCTATCTAAGACTACTTGTTTACACCAAAATAATACAGAGCTAAACAATTAAAGCTTAAATCTTTGTATGTTGCTCTGCTTTCCTTCATGACATCTCTGGTTCCTTTCTAGCCATACTGTCAACCATATACATGATGGGACAATCTTCCATCTCTCCTCCTTTCTTCCTGCATTTCCACTATCCAGTCCTAAAATATTTTACCCATTATCTAATCTTTCCCTGACATTGAGACTTGAGAGTGAACCAATCCAAGAGAATGTGTTCCTTTTTCTTTTGTTTTTTTCTCTTTTTCAGGATTATAACTGAAATACTTAGTTGAGGATTTGGTGGAGTACTCTTTATCAAAAAGAAATTGGTGGAGTACTAATTACTAGCCTCAAACCACATATTAATATATTAAACCAACAAAGGTGTAGATGTCCAGTATTATTTCTTTTTAACTAATGTGACTGAAGCTCTGGTACCTCCAGACTCCAGTACATCAAGCAAAAGCATCAATATACAAAAAATAGGTGAAGAAGTGCACTCTTGATCTAATGAGTAGAACTGTCAACCCCTTCAAAAGCCCACATTCTTTTCTATAACATTCCCAGAGCAGACACAAAGGTTCAATTTCAAAATTTCGACCCATATTTCTGTTGTGATGGATGTTCCAAGAGAACTACTATTTGCTGGAAGAACCTGATAGACTCCAGAAGTGAAAATAAAAGATGCCATTAGTCCAAAGAAACAGTGAAGTAGCAGGTGACTTGTGTCCTCATATGATAGTTACAAATGAAGCATGCGTTAATTAATTCCGCAAATTATCGATGTTAGAAATTGCATTGTGGGCTACATGAATCTCTACCTGCATGGACCACAAGGCAAGCCAATTACATGTTACCCTACGTCCATGTCCATCTTTATTCCTCAACCATCAGTTTAACGGAACACCAGAAATATGGTTTATGGGATGCATGATAGAATGATAATGCCTCTATGCTATCCATGAAAAATACAAGGAGAAATCAGATTCAATGAGAGCTCATGTTTTGGTTATTATTACTCTTTTTTGTATCCAGAAACTAAGTTTTTCCTACACCTTTTTTAATGTTCAATTACGTTTTCCCTTTAAACTTATAACCCTTTATCAAAAAGAAATTGGTGGAGTACTAATTACTAGCCTCAAACCACATATTAATATATTAAACCAACAAAGGTGTAGATGTCCAGTATTATTTCTTTTTAACTAATGTGACTGAAGCTCTGGTACCTCCAGACTCCAGTACATCAAGCAAAAGCATCAATATACAAAAAATAGGTGAAGAAGTGCACTCTTGATCTAATGAGTAGAACTGTCAACCCCTTCAAAAGCCCACATTCTTTTCTATAACATTCCCAGAGCAGACACAAAGGTTCAATTTCAAAATTTCGACCCATATTTCTGTTGTGATGGATGTTCCAAGAGAACTACTATTTGCTGGAAGAACCTGATAGACTCCAGAAGTGAAAATAAAAGTGCAAAACAAACATGAAAATCGACATTCCATATAGTTGCTCCATGAAACAAAATATCCAGTAGCCTCCAAAGGCAATCCGTTTTAATACTTTTACTATAAAATTGATCATGACATACCTAAAGTAATTTCTGGATCTATTGTATCTGAGAGAGAAACTTCATGTGTTAATTGATCTTCCTGCTCAACAAGGTCAAGTTCTGGACGCACAGCTTGGTAACCCTGAGTAGGATGCATGTAAGGGATCTAATATTCTTGCTTTGATAAATAAGGGATAAAATATAATCTTGCCTCAGAAAACAATAAAATATCGAGTAGTATTTTTTTACTCAGAAGACAATTAAAAAGCAAACTCACCTGAAACTTTGCTTTACGCAATGCAAAGAGGCTTTCAATTAAGAACTGAACACGTTTATCTATTTCTCCTTCATGAAGTATACCACGGAACCGCTCAAAGATTCCTATTTAAAAGGAAAAAGGTATAAGCTTGGCAACCAAAGCAGAATCTTTATATAAATAAACGAAAATATAAGTCGTGAATATTCTATAACAAACTTTCAATGTGTACTCACCATGTAATCCTCGTGGACAGAGGTCCTGAAGCATTGAACCACATTCTGTAACAAAACCAACCGCAACCTCAACACTATCATCAGTAGGTTTCTCCAACAAAACCGTGAGTAGTTCAAGAGCAATAAGCTCGTGGACGATTTGTTGGTTCACAAGGTGAGCAATAAATTTGACAGCTGCTAACAGCTGAGGCTGCAAGCGTGAAAAATTAGGGGTAAGACAAATTATGACAAGATTTTTTTGTCCTGCTAAGGTTATGAACAGATTTGGACTGCATTGAAGCAATTAGACTAACCGCACTACTAGAGATACAAACCTTATCATTTGTACAAGAACAATACAGTATGTTGCACAAATAAAAAATGTACTGCAAGCACGAAAGCAAAAGAGATACGAACCTTATCATTACGTTTATAAGCTCTTTGCAGCTGCAGTATGATCCTTCTTAACAAAAGATCACCCACTTCAGGGAACTTGGTATTAACGACCGCAACCAAAGCAGCAAACACATCAGTAAAACCCGGAGAAGCCATTTGGGACTTCATACAGGATCTACAAAACAGACCCCTCCCTCGAATTAAATTCTCTGCGAACAACTCTGGAATTATGTTTTTGAGGTTTGCTGCATTAACTTTATTCACCAGTCCATTGATACTCTTTCTCAGAGCATCCCAAGTCATCCTCTGGTACTCAACACTGCTCTTGTCCTGAACCTCCTTCATCATCCTAGCCAATTTGAATGGTGGAATGTACACTCCCCCACTCCTGCCCAATTTTGCTGTATCGACATTCAAATTACCATCTTGCTTTTGCACCTTGGAAACCTCACTGGCTTTCAGTGCCCCATCTTCTTGGGTATTATCTTCCCTATTTTTCTCTTTTCCATGCTTATCAGCCCCAACCCTTTGCCTTGTATCCTTTCTATCATGGTCATCACCATCATCCTTCTTTTCTCTTTCTACATTCCTCCTCTTCTCTTTCCTATCCCCTTCTCTACCATAATTATACCTTTCAACCCTACCCTCCCTTCTCTTTTGCACCTTTTCATCATCAGACTCACGTTGCTTCTTCTCCTTCCTATCATTTCTTTCATCTCCATTCCTTCGACTCATCTCCTTCCTATCATCTTTTACATCACCAGCTTCACCTTCATGTCTTCGTTTCCTCCTACTCCTATCATCCCTTTCAACGTCCTCATCAACTTGGCTTACATTTTTTCTGCTTTCCTTCCTACCATCCCTCCTTTCATCATCTTCTTCACTTCCATCTTTTGGCCTCCTCTGTCTTCTGTCATCCCTTCCAGCATCATCTTCACGGTCATTTCTTCGTCTTCTCTCCCTCCTATCATCCTTCTCATCATCATCAACCCGTTCACTTTTTCTCCTCCTCTCCCTCGTTTTATCTCTGTCACCATCATCATCTTCTTCTTCCTGTTCTTCTTTTGACCTCCTATCACCCCTTTCAGCACTATCTTCCCGTTCATCTCTTTGACTCTTCCGCTTCGAACCATCATCACTATCATCCCTAGTTCCACGTTCAGTTCTTCGCCTCGACAACCTCCTATCATCCCTTCCATTATTACCACCACCACCATCATCATCACCACTTTCATGTTCAATTGTTCGCCTCCTCGCCCTCCTATCCCCCCTTCCATCATCACCATTTTCACGTTCAATTACTCGCCTCCTCGCCCTACTATCACCTCTTTCATCATCATCATCATCCGAACTGCTTCTATCCCTATGCCGTTGCCGCTCGACTTTCTTCACATCCTCATCGTTCCTTCTCCTACGATGTCTATTCTCACTCAAATCCTTCTCCATAAGCGCAACTTGTGCTTACAATCACAAAATTCAATACTCAATTATTTGAAGCACACAACAATGTCTACATACAGTAAAAAGAAAAAAAATAGGTGAATTCCAGAAACACTTCCACTACAACAAACGCCGGGATCTATGTGAAGATTACAGGACCTTTAGCTCCGCCGGCGAAAGCTTCCGATTTGGATTTGGAATTGGGGAAAAACAGAGAAGAATTCGGGTAGGGAAAGAAGTGGATATTTTACCAAGCCCGATATTCAGATCCGCTATGGAATTTTTATTTATTTTTATTTAAAAAAAACAATTGAATTGAATAAAAAGCAAAATACAAAAACATATTCAATATAATGACATTAGTGGGGTCTGGAGAGAGTGCATTTCTTATCTCTACCTCATGAAGGTAGAAATGTTATTTCGGATACAAAAGCATTACATAAAGAAGTAGGGTAAGATATACGTACATCTCACTCTCTCTGCACTTTATTTCTACCTTGTGAAGTTAGAAAACTTGTTTCAGATATAAAAATATTATATAAAAAAGTAGCATAAACTCTATCCAAGTCTCAATTTCTCAGGACCTTATTCTACTACTCCTAATTGTGAAGATAAAAAAGTTGTTTCAGATACAAAAATATTATATTAATTAAGTAGGAATAAAATCTATGTATATCTCACTTTTTTCGAATCTTATTTGTACTTCGTGAAGATAGAAATATTGTTTTGGATACAAAAATATTATTTATATGAAAAAAGTAGGAATAAGATCTATCTATGTACTTCTCACTCTCTCCGGACCTCACTTATGAAATTATATTGAATATATTATTGTTATTTATATTGTTATTGACATTTGTCGATGAATCAGATTTTAGGAACAACTAGAACTAAGAAATTAGAGTTTCTTTGTAATGATAATATTTAGGGAAAGGGTTAAAATTAGTATATGTGTGCGTACAAATTATCGCATTAAAGATAAAATGAAAGTTTAAAAAAGAAATATGACGCATAAATTGGACAGTGTGTAGTAAATAGCAACGGTAACCAACTTGAGGACCATCAAAAGCAAGAGTCCTAGCGGAGTTATCAGCTCATGATGACTCTTGCGATCGCAGACAGAGCTCATGTAGCGAACATGTAAAACAACAGTTGCGTGATACAGTGCACCACCATAGATCAAAGTGAAACAAAACACCAAGCAACAAAAGATTCCTCAATACCAAGTTTTCTGATAAAAGCTTCATCACCAAACATAACCTTAACATCATATGACTTGTGTGCTTGTCTTAGTAAATAACATAAATAAACTTACATTCTTAATAAAATAACTAGAAAAGTAGAAGACACATCATACCATATTTTTTTCACGTCTTAATACTAAGACAGGTTAATGACACTACATCTTCAATGTACTAACTACAAGAGTAGAAGACCACACGAGCTTAAAGAGATGACAAGCTCACTGTGGAGCTTTATAATCATCATTGGAATAAGGAGGGTATTCATCACCTGCCAAAAATATAAAAAGCAAGCATGGCTGACCCAAACAAATTTAAAGCATCAATTTCTCATAATATGTATAAATACAAAACAATTTGACAGTTCTAACCTACACAAAGCAAACATCTAGAACCAGAAAATGCAACAAGTTGCAACGGTAAGGGAGTAAAATATTTTAGTTATACATTAATTCAATGTGAAACAAAAACCCCATCTACTAAAGAGTTTGCCAAAAAGTAACCTAATTAGGAAGCATAAACAATGTCCCCGTTTGACTCTCATGTGAACAATTTGAAAAGAAAGGAAACAAGGGATCACACTAAGGCACATTAGGAACTTGTACACTCGTAATGATTTGCATAACAAGATGCTCTTGTCGGACACATTCTACTTTGTAAACACCTTGAATATCATAAACTGTACTCAACCATAAAGACAGAGATGTGCTCTTAAAAGTGAATTGGCCAAAATCCTTGTCGCTAAATAACTATAAAGATGTCAGAATTCATATTTTTTTTTCATTTAACAATATGGAAACTGTCCATGATGTTGGTAGGGGCTAACTTGAAGTTTTGATTTTAAAGCTTTTGGTGGTGAAATGTATGTTTCCAGGAAGCACACACAATAATAGCAACATAATTTTTGAAAATATTAGCAATATTAAAAGGTTTACCTTGAGTGGATGTTTTCTTGAGCCTGCAAAATGCAATAATTCTTCCTCCACAGATTCCTCAGAACCCCAATGCTTGAAAGGTGAATGAAGCGTCAGAGTCAGAATCAGAATCAGAATCCTTTACTAGAAAGGTATTACGACACCAATATCCAGCAGCAAGTGCGGTGGTGACAGTCAAATTTTCGACAAATTTGAATTTTGTATTCTAATAAAGAGTTAAAAGTCAAATTACACAATGTAATAACCAAAAAGAAGAAAACAGTTTTGGTTGCACTTACATTGTGTGAATTGAAAGCATCAATGGCTGAGCATGAAATCTCCGTAAACTCTGTATCGTTGAGACAACGTCTTTGTGGAACAATTGGAGCTCCAAGAGAAAGACCCAAATCCAAATCCAAAGTGATATCAAAACCCTAATTGCATAAACAACGTACCTCGCTCTCCTCCACCTGCTTCCAATACTTCTCCCGAGTTTCTCGGTCCATTATGCTCTTCCCGACATACATATCATGATCAGAATCATACTCTACACCTTTGATATCGGCATTCACACTACTCTCCTCTTCCAATTTTCGCTTCCCTTGATGACCATTTTCTGCCATTACAATCGATTGGAGTTAGAAAAAAGTGTTTTTCAGAAAAATGAAAATAACTAAGATTGAGCTTAAAAAATTAATTAGCTCTCGAGGAAAAAAAAAGTTACAATAGGAAGAATAATTATGTAAAAATAAGATTTGGAAAAGACTAGAATGTACGTAAATATTATAATTTTATTCCAATTTATTCAGTTTAAATCTAAATACACATAGTTTATATCAAATCTCGTATATTTGATTTTACCCGACAAATTTAAGTAAATTTACTAAGATAATTTCGTTATTATTTAATCCCCGTATTACAATTTTGTGTTCCCTCATTTTGTAGGGATGGCAATGGGACGGATCGAGCCTTAACCCACAAAGTTTTCAATCCCCCCTCCCCCCCCCCCCACCATTAATTTAAAAATATATATTTTAGCATGCCCCGCCCCGCTCCAATCCCACTTCCATCCCTAAACACTACCCTCTCCCCAGATCCCAATGTGGGATTACACTAGGTTTGTCCTTATAGTATTTACGTACATGCATACATTACTAGACACAAGTGTCCGTGCTAGCACGAGCTCAATATCTGTTAATTTTTAGAGAGTCAATTAAATTTTAATATAATTTTTAAATATTTTAAGTTGTTAATTATTGTAATTTATAATATTTTTACGTATTTTTAAAATATAATCTATATGTTACTTCTCTTGTTCCAATGTATGTAGCACCTATAGAATTTCAGGAGTCAATTAAATGTTATTAATTATTGAGATTTACAATATTTTTTACTTAGTTTTCAAATTAAGTTACTTTTTTTGTTCCATTTTATGTGACAAATAAACCATTTTTATGAATCAATCAAATTTTTTATAAGCAATCGAATTTTTTGTATGTTTATTTAAAAATATTTTAAGTTGTCAATTATCATGATTTATAGTATTTTTTTACACAATTTTTAAAAATATAAAAAATTAAAAATACAAATAAATTAAAACGGAAGAAAAAAAATGAATGTATGTGCAGCTGCCAGGCACGCATGTTGACTATGACCTGACTGGGTATCCCCACTTATATATTAGTAGGGGATGTATAGAAGAGAGGGAACATCTTTCAGTGATTCAATAGTAACTGTAGGTACATTGAGTTTCATGTCAGGAACAAGAAAAGAAAGAAGATGAACCAAACATAATAACTATAGAGAAACTAAAAGCTAAAGTGAACCCCCCACCACTAGTCAAGAAACTACCATAATTAACAAATATACCTTTGTGTACATTTCATTTAGAGATCAGATCATACTTTTTTGTTGTTTGATATTAGTAGCCCCCATTTGTTCAGTAAGATGTTCCATGTTCTGAGTTTTATCCCATCCATTTATTTGTGGTTTGGTTTCACTTGTGTTAGAAATATCATCATCCATTGCAGCAGAGTCCATCTCCTCTGTCTCTCCAGGGGAAGGGCTTTGAAGAAACTTTTCCCAGAAAGGGTCACCTACACTAGGAAACTCTTGTATATCATCCAGCAAACCACTCTGCCAGTCAATATGAGGATCAGGAGAGAAACTACCAATATCTAGTCCCATTTTTCCGTTCACTCCCTCAACTGCGCTAGTATCCATGAAAGAATCATGCTCCATTGCAGATCCAATCATATCTATATTGTTTTCGGGCAAAATTCCTTGCAACTGTGATAACTCAGGCATAATTATATCTGATGCAGAAAGTGAACCAGGATGCAAATTTTGACCTCCTACCAATGGGATCATGTCTGAGAACTGATTATTGACGATTTCAGAAGATGTGCCAAGATGAGATGAGTGGATCTCACAAGTCGCAGGCAACAAACTTTGACCGGCAATGGCTGAAGCTGTATTCAGCAAGGGCTGGCCAGAAGTTGGTGGGACTTCCTGAAGAGTTACTCCTGAAACACGAGCGGAAGATGCATTAGATTGTGGTGAACCATCACCAATCAGGAAACTTTCAGGACCGTTGCTGAAGTTCTCTAATCTAGGAGAAGAATCTAGTTTTGAAAGCTCCCTGAACATTGCCTTTGCTGCCTCATTTATCCCAGGTTGGTACTTAACAATCTGTCCATCCGCAGGAGTAACGGATTGATCCTGTGATTCAATGTCCTGCTTAATCCTTCGTTTCTTGCTGCCTTCAGCTATTCGCTTATTACTCTCATTTTGCTGCTGTACAAACTGTGCCAAGAATCCAGGGCTGTTAACGGCTTTTGCCAGGAATGACATCATCTGTTGTTGTCGCTGCTCCATACCCTGAAGGCGCTGCACCATCCCTTGCAACTGATTGTCAGTGGTTTGCTGCTGTTGTCTGAGCCTAACCAGCTCTTGCATAAGCACGTTCTTGTCCCTTTTCAGCCTCTCAACCTCTTCTTCAAGCCCAAATTTTCCAACCTCGACACAAGCCCCAACAGATGCACTGTGTCCAGGTGGCTGCGTCTGTTGTTGAGCATGTCCATGTGGCTGCTGCTGTTGTTGAGCATGTCCAT